TAGCTGTGTTTGATTTTTATTACCGTACGCAAGCTTGCAATCTAACTGAGCGTGTAAATCTTGAAAACTCGGAATGTCTATTTTGTTTTTCCTTTGAGGATTTTCGTATCTGCTCACGTTTTAATAACGTAAATTACGGCGCCTGGTATGTTTACAAACCTTTGTTTGGTTCTTCTGTTGCTACTTGCCGGCTCGCCTGTTCTGAAATTTCACTTTCAGTTATCGGAAAAAAGCTAAAAAGAAGTCCCGGAAAAGGTCGAACATAGCACACTTTGACAGATGGCGTGACAGCTTTAGCTCAGCTCTATGCTCTATACTCTCATAGAGCACGCTCTTTCAACCAATGACAGCACGCGTGATATCCGATCTTTATTATAATGGCAGTTAGAGAGGTACGGAAGCCGAAAAAGGCACAATCCAAAAATATGTTGTAAATCCAAAAAAATATTCAGAATCGATATCTTTTAGACAAATCGCTTTTGAAAAGTTTGTCAAATCGACAAAACAAATTCAAATCCGTGACTTTCCACTTATTTACCGAGCTTTAAAACTCTAGACCTTGCAGACCTTTACTTCTTTAACCCTCTAGAAAGACTCACATTTCTGGCTCAAATTCCCCACCCCAGCCACGTAAGGTTCAAATTTCCCATTCCCCAGGCACGGTATAGTAAAATACCCATGAGTTGCCCGAGTTTTCCCTTTTCAAAAAAAAAAAAAAATGAACTTGGGTAGGGCATTTGAATATAATTTTGGCCCCGTGGGTTGGAATTTGAAGAACTAATTTTGAAGAGTTCAATTTCCACGGGGTAGGGAAGTTGAAGTTTCGAATTGATCGATGCATAAGCGTGAAATTTGTCTCTGTCCCTACTCTAGCCCACAGTAATTGAATTTCGCTTCTCAAAGACACATCAACGACGTTTAAGCCCCCTAAATGAGGTTTTATGTCTCGAGTACATCGTAAAAGGGATATGCACTCGCTGGACTGCATGGTATGTCCAAAACTATCCTTAGCAACTTCAGAAACCGCTCTCGACCAACATTATTCTAGAGCATTCTCTTCACGCAAATAACTGCAAAATATGCTGAAGTAAAAAGGGAAGTTAATCACTGACATAATAAGTTTGGCTCTCTATTAAAAACGAGAACTTTTCCAATATTTTACCTCAATGAAACCAACATCTAAGTGTTCGTTACAAAATCAAAACAAATTTCAATTTTTGTACTTGTTGTGGGCTGTTCAATGCGGCCTAAAGTGACCTTAGAACGTTATTACACCTACGAATTTAATCAGCAGCTGATTGATTAAATGTTTAGCGTAGTGCTTTCTTGAGACTTAAAAAATTAAAGGCTACCAAAGAAATTTTTTTGCTTTTCCAATTTGACTGAAATCACTTTGAAGATAAATCCTGAAAGCGCGTGAGAGTTGGAGTAAGATAACGTTAGTCGCATTTTCTGTTGTGGGGTGAAAAGCTTTTATTGATTTGAAAATTTGCTACTTTTGCAGACTTGCACAACGTGAAATAATCATGTCAGTGAGTTTTAATGACTTTCCCCATCTTTTCCAAACCTCAAACTTCTGTAGCATTTTCCTTATTCTCGCCGATTATGGCCGGACGAATATTCTGATAAAACGATTGTCAATAGACCAACTTTCAAAGCGATTTACATGGAATTTGATATTGTTTTTTTTTGTTTTGTTTTTTTTACTTCGCACTGTGATTGGCTCAGAAAACATGAATCAAGTATGGCTTTTTTACTTCAAGAACCGAGAAAGAAAGCCAATTGTGTTTGTAGCACAATAAACTCACGAGAGTTGCTTATGTTTTCTTTGTTTTGTCACGGTCCTCTGCTGATTTTTACGACTCCACTGCCGGCATTGTCCAAAAATTACGAACTCTGTAAGTCCGCTTGGATAGCCAGTCCGAACACAGGATTCGCTTCATATTGTCCACGGGCGTTGCCAGCGATATAATTATTTCATGCATTGTATTTTGCTGTAGTTTTATCTCCTTCGTTTCGCGCTTAGTGCGAATAGTTTAAGGAAAGTTTGTTATTTTCCTACAATGGCGAAACTTCTAAACTACTATGTCTTGCTGTACGCCACAAGAAACAAATATTCGTTCGTCCACTCGAAGAGCCTTGAACTATTTTCCATATAACCCATTTAAAAGGAAAGGATGAACTTTAAGTGGCCAGCAGAATGTTCTTCTCTCAGTTCACACCCCGAAGAGTTATGTAAATCCCTTTTGAAATTTTAATTAGTGTTACATAAAGAACTGATCATCACTGCATTTCAAAACAGTATAATTTAATTAATTTCCAGAGTAAAACTGCATATACGGAGTTGGCGTATATATTTACCATCATTGTAAGGTAAAATGAACTTGAAACTGTTGAAAATTTTCTATCCCGCCAAGTGTAAAAAAAAAATAATAATAATAATAATAATAAAAAATGTCAGATTACTTTTAAATTTTAGTTATCCATGAATAGCATTTGTGTTAAGGCAAAGCTAAGGCCAAGTTGAAGATAAATGCTTCTTCAGCTAACCGCTGAAGATTTTATCAGACCCCGACAACCGTGGCAGTCCG